AAAAAAAAAAAAAAAAAAAAATCTAGCTTTTCTATACGAACTTACTTTTTGTTCTTGGCTTGTATTTTCAGGAGACAAGTACTAGACCTCTTGTGTGCGTCGGCACCGAAGCTGACGAGGACTTTTACCACCTAATGGCGGGATTCAATGGCGGATCCACATTACAAGAGTGGGGTCACAGGACCCCAACAAAGTTGAAAAAAATGCCTATATATATATTGTAAAAAAAATAGGAAAAAAAAATATTTTCATTGCTTATAATTATTGGTGCGACCCAGTGCCCCCATATATATATTTTTTTTAAAAAAAAAGTCAAAAGTTGAGGCAAAAAGCAAAAACCTGCGGCCCATATGCCAATTGTCATATATTAAAAAAAAAAGAAAAAGAAAAAAGATACATTATACATACCTGCGAGAGCGAGGCGAGTCAGGCGAGGCGAAGTCGCAGCTTCCGTGAAAATTTCAGATCTTTCAAGCGCCAAGCGAGGCTCCGACACTTTCGTGAAAATTTCATATCGTTGGGTAATCAATCCTTTTCTTTTTCTTCAAGCAAAAATTGAAATATCATCCAATTTTGAGAACAAGAAGGAACAAGATTTTTTTCGATTTTTCTTCAAGGTAATTTTTTCTCTTTAATTTGAATACATTTTACTTTTTTGATGAGCATTATTAGACTATTAGTTTTCTCGATTTGGAATTTTCTAGGAATATGATATATTTTTTAGTTGATTTTAGTTTAGAAAATTTAATTTATTTTGTTAATAGGTTAAATAAACATAAAATTTGGACAGGTTTATTAATGGAGAGATTTTTTAAGAGAGCATGAAACAATAATAGTGAGATTGGAAATAGCTCAAGTGTTGGGCCTGTTGGTAGATGTCCTACTTCAATGCCTAAAGAAGGTGATTTAAATGATCTTCCTTGGGACCCGGCAGATAGAAGACGAATTACGGAATATCATCCTAACCAGAGAGATGAAATAAGGAGAAAATATCTTAGTAGAGGACCTTGTCAACCCCGTGGTCATGATTTTCCAAAAAAAATGATGGGCAAAAAATTGAGACGGTTTAATGTTGTCTGGTTTGATCAGTATAACTGGTTAGAGTACAGCGTGAAGAAGGATAAAATTTTTTGTTTGTGTTGCTATTTGTTACAGGATAACTTAGAAAATAAAGGTGGAAATGATGCATTTGTTACCGAGGGCTTTTCGAGTTGGAATAAAACAGAGAGATTAGCCTCTCATGTGGGCGATGTTAATAGCTCTCATAACAATGCCGTAAAAAAATGTGATGATTTGTTGAAACAAAGTTAGTCTATTGAGGTTAGGATTACCCTTCCGTGGCCATGATGAGTCAGATAAATCTGATAACCGAGGGGTATTCTTAGAAATGATAAAGTATACTGCAGAAAATAATGAGACTGTAGGGAATGTTGTCTTGAAAAATGCTCCAGGAAATAATCAAATGGTGTCTCCGAGTATTCAAAAAGACATTGTTCATTGTTTTGCTCAAGAAATCATCCGTCTATTCTAGGTAAAATTGGTGATGATGTGTTTGCTTTGTTGGTTGATGAATCTCGTGATGCTTCTGATAAGGAGAAAATGTCCGTGGTTTTGCGTTTTGTTGATATGCAGGGAGTTGTGAAAGAAAGATTTGTTGGTGTTATTCATGTGAAAGAGACAACTTCTTTGTCTCTTAAATCTGCAATTGATTCTTTATTTGCTGAATATGGATTAAGCATGAAAAAGGTTAGAGGGCAAGGCTATGATGGAGCAAGAAATATGAAAGGTGAGTTTAATGGCTTGAGATCTTTGATTTTAAAAGAAAATAGTTCTGCATATTATGTTCATTGTTTTGCTCACCAACTTCAATTGGTTGTTGTGGGACTTGCAAAAAAAACATCATGATGTTAAGATTTTTTTTGATATAGTAGCTACTTTGTTGAATGTGGTTGGAGCATCTTGTTAAAGAAAGGATATGATTCGAGAAGCCCAACAAAACAAAGTGAAAGAAGCCATTGGTAGTGGTGCAATTGCAACAGGAAAAGGGCTGCATCAAGAGATTTCTTTACACAAGGCCTGGGGTACACATTGGGGGTCTCATTACAAAACACTTCTGCGTTTGGTTGAATTATTTTCTTCGGTTATTGAGGTGCTTAAATTTGTTGAAAGTGATGGAAAAGATGAATCTAGACATCAAGCACGTGGTCTTCTCATTTATTTGCAGACCTTTGATTTTGTGTTACTTACACTTGACGTTGAAGGTTTTGGGATTCACAGATTCTTTATCAACGACATTGCAAAGAAAGGATCAAGACATCTTGAATGCTATGTTGTTGGTGAAGGCAACTAAAAGTCAACTTCAAAAGATTAGAGATGATGGGTGGGATTCTCTCCTCGAGAAAATATCATCTTTTTGTGAGAAACATGACATTGCAGTACCAGATATGGTGGAATCTTATATTCATCCGAGGCGGCCCAGAGCAAAAGAAAAGGTCACCAAGTTACATCATTACTCGGTGAATTGTTTTTACACTGTTCTTGATATGCAACTTCAAGAATTTAATGATCGCTTTAATGAGATCAACTCTAATTTACTTATTTGTACGGCTTTGTTAAATCCTGCTAACTCGTTCCATGAGTTTGACCCCTCAAAGTTGATGAGATTGGCTGAGATTTATCTGGAAGACTTTAGCTCCATGGATCGCATAGCTCTTGAAGATCAACTTGGAGTGTTCATTGATAATGTTCGAGCTGATGGAAGATTTTCCAACCTAAAGGATATCAGTGTTCTCGCTCGAGTTATGGTCGAAACAAAGAAACATCTTTCCCATCCATTGGTGTATAAACTTTTGAAGTTAACTCTTACTTTGCCCGTTGCCACTGCAACTGTCGAGAGAAGTTTTTCGGCGATGAAGTACGTGAAGAATTATTTGCGAAACCGAATGAGTGATCTTTTTCTAAATGATCTTTTGATTTGTTATGTAGAAAATGATTTGCTAGAAAATGTTACGAATGATGTAGTGATTGATCGTTTTCAGAAAATGAAAACTCGTAAGAACAGTTGTAAGATATGACTTATGTGTAATGTGAAGACATTATTTTTTTTTTAAATTATTTTTGTTGTTAAGTATATGGTGCCCACATTATGTAATCATCCAGGATCCGCCATTGGCGGGATTTTGGTTTTGGTCATTTACTTTATGGCTAAGGTTTACTAGAATTGAAAAGGTTTGACAAGGTAAAAGAGGAGCGGGGCATGTAAATCGACATTCAATTTTAACTTGAAAGTAAATCGAATTTGATCTGCATTTCTCTATAATTGAGACACTAATTTTTGTCAATTGCTTCTCGCAATAGTGCAAATAAAAAAAAAAAAGAAAAAGAAAAAGAAAAGAAAAAAAAAAAGAATTTTAGTAAATGTGCTAAAAAAAATTAGATGGGTCGTTTAAATGCAATATAAAACTAGTGAGGCGTTAGTTGGTAGTTTTCTCTGTATAGGTTCCATGTTCTAACATAATCCAAGCACATATCTCTAGAAAAGGCCGGCCCAATTAACAAACGTCCTCCAAAATCCGAGCTCAAAAATGACAAAATTCCAATAGAATGTAGAGTAAAAGTGTGTTATGGCTACTATTTTGTTTCCACTTTTTTTTTTTTAAGTTAAGCTTGTCAATCCGTCGTACTCATTTAATTAAAATATATATTGAGATATAATTTTTGTTTATATTGTTTTTAAAGTGTGATATTTATGAACAGAAACATATATATACTTATAAATAATGAAGTATGTCCACCTAATAGTTAATAGTTAAGTCGACCTAATATATATATATATATATATATATATATATACTAGTCGTCTCACGACTGTGCATGCACAACCGCCTCAAGTTTAGCCTGCAATTGAGTTAAAATTTGGTGTCAGATGAAATAATCAATTGAATTTATATATATATATATATTTTCAACAACTATTATTAAATTTTAGACACATTAACAAAATTAGAGAAAAAAATATTGAACATTTATCTTGAATAAACTGGTTGTAATAGGCTTTAAAATGAGAAGACATGCCTGTACAAGAGCAATATATGCATAAAGGTTGGAAAGTACCTTTAGGGACTTTGGGATTTCGCCTTAAATTCTAGCCGCATCTCCTACATCAATGAGTAAGATAGGAGCTCTCACTACAAATTTTCTAACTTGAATCTCCACATAGATATGAAACAATCAACATATAAACATTATTTGGAAGCAATGTAGATTGACAAAAACAAGTCCAAAGATTTCTGTAATTATACTAACAGAAATCATAAAAAACCACATAAACCAATAAAATAGAGCCATGAAACAAAAACAAATAATGTCATATGAGATTGAGCCAACAAAAAAGATCAACTAAAGTTTCTATAATTAAAATAGCACAAATCATACAAAATCATATAACCATATGAGATAGATTTAGCAATTAAGTCTAAATGTCACAAATGTAGACGAAAAAGGGAAAAAGCAAAGGCACAGATGAAGAACCTAGAAAATAAATTGAGGGTAGTGGTACAAATGGAGGAGATCTAGAGCATGGTTTTCCAGTGACTGGCCGCACAAATTGAAGTTATTTACAAAACTGTTAAGGAAAAATTAAATGTATGAGATATTTTAAAGATTGCGTCAGTTTCAGTCCAAAACTATGCTAGGTAACATATTACTCACTCGCCTGATGTGTGTAAACAATTGGATCTACGGGAGTAATCCTCAGACATTGCCAATTATTGTCGGTAGACGGACGGTGTTTCGGATTGCAAAATTCAAGAAATATCGCGTACTTGTTTGGTTATTTGGTAGCTAAAAGCTGCAAATTTCAAAGAAGTCATAATTTAATTGCAATCAAGACCATACAAAAATTCAACGAATTTCACAATAGAGAAAATCTATTGAGCTGTGTATCCAACATACAGTTAAGATGATTAAGCTACATGTAACCAAAGAAGCCATTTTCCAAATAAAAATAGAGCTACACCCCTTTCCAATGTTATATAGAGAGAAGCAAATAGTATTATATCAATAATCTGCAGTTGCATACCTAGTTTCGGACACATAGAACCAACTCCTGGTTTTAGATGTGCTGGTGGTTCATACACATGTTGACCTTTGAAAGAGTGCATCACCGAGGAAAATATAATATATTGGTACATGAACTTTCAAGTTCACTCTTTTCAAAATCACGGTAGAAATATCAAACAAGAATGAACAAAAATACATTTTTGGTCATAGTTGCCCACATGGCAAACTTGAAAGAAATGTGATTGCAACCATTTCTAAATGCTTTTGGACAACTAAGATGGCTAATCCTGTTTTTAAAAGAAGCTTTCAATTGACATCATGGTACCACCCTAAGTACCACCAATAAGTAGCAGATATGGTTTCTAGTTTCACCGTTATAGCCTAGATAAGAGTCCCTTTTTATTCTCCATTGGATGTTTCTGGGGTTTAGGACTTTAATTGAAAATTTAAGTATCGTCTACGCATTTTATCTGTATAAAGACGAGCCGATTTGGTGAGCCGGTCGAGAAAAACAAACTGGAAGCGAACCAAGCCGAAAGGCGGGAGTCCATGTGATCGA